TATTTACAACATGTAATATCCCAAGCTTGCATAAACTATCGGTCCAGACTTTTTAAATAACATATGTTATTTAAAATGTCATACATATTTCTTGCAACGAATATATCTTTCACAAATGTTTAAAAATTAAGACATCGCGGTGTGCGGATAATTAATGAGTGTCCCAGAATATCTGAAATGCAAGTGAGAAATTGTCAGACATGGCGTGTCTTGCGCTCGGTTGATTTTCCGTCTCTTTAGCGAGGCGACGGCGACGCGCGCCGCGAGCGTCGACGAAAATGATCGGAAAGGGGTCGACGCGTGCCGTCACGTTTTCCCGCTGCGTGACCCGCGCCCGTGCGTCATTCGAGCGTCTACGCGGCCGTGTGCATTCCACACGGTGCGCCGCGCGCAGCGACGACAAATTTCACAAAATGCCGCGCATTCCGCGCTCGCGATCGCGCGGAGGAGCGCACTTTTCTCGGATGCGAGGAGAGCGCGCGGATCGTAAATTCAGGCGAGAGCCCACGGCGCGAAGCTTTAAGCGCGCGATCGTCGAGATCGAGCCGCGCGATTAATCTCGCGAGCGATTTACGTCGGCCGAGACCGATCACGGCGATCCCCCGATAAATTGGGAATCGCGAATTGATCTGGCGCGGGAAAACGCGGTTTTCTACAAGTCTGCCGCTGAAAATGACGAACGTTCCACTTCGCGCTTCGGATAGAACTCGCCTGCGCTGACACCGCCATTCGAATTTCGATATTCTATGCATTATTTACGGAAAACGCTCGGTCTACAGCAGAGCGATTACAAATGGAGTAAAATTTTACTCTTGCAACGAATTATCTTACTTGAGAAAATTACTCAAGATGAACAATAATGTTTGTGTCGGAAAAAAGTAAAGATTTCTCATCAGTTGCATGCACAATATTTAAATTTACATTACGTATAATATTTTTGTAATTCAAGAAACTTGAAAGAAGGACTTGAAATGGGAACAAATATCATTCTATTCTTACTTTCGCTATGCGCTGCGATGTCGACGCGCAAAGCCGGCATTAGTCGTCGCATACGCGATAAGAATGTTGATGCGGTTTCACGCCGCTGGTTCTGCTTGCAACTCTCGCTTAGGTATGTAGGTTTTGGGCGAGAGAATCGAATGGATGCCACCGAAACGAACGACAGGCGACAGCGACGAAAGTGTCGTCACTTTGTAATTCCGGGTGCGACGACCGGCAGCGGGGCTTTTGCATATAATCGCGTCTCGTCGACGAATAATTAGCCGAGCCGCTTGTTTGTCAGCGCGGTGCGAAGTGCTAATCGATCGCACCGCACGATCGAGCCGGCCCAAACTCATCTCGCGCCAATGAACCGCGATCGGGAACTTCGGCGAAGTGACGAGGCGTGGGTTTCAGAATTGCAAATTGCGCGTAAACGGGTCGCCCACGCGACCCGCCTTTTTTTCCTGCCGCCATGTAAAACGAGTGTTCTATTTAGTGCGAAAATTGTCGCGTGCCACGTAATCGTGAATATATATAACTTTTTCAATATCCAATAATTATGCAATATGCAAATCTTTCGACGGCGAATTGAAATTCCAAGAGTTCATCTCGAATTTCTTCGTTCGCGTGAAATAATTAAACACATGTGTGGAGAAATATAAATGGATGAATTAAATATAGAATAGATAGACTGAAAAGCTGTTAGAAAAGCTATTGATGCAAAAAAAATCACTAGTTTCTGCATATTTTTTCGCAAATTATGCAAACGTTTATAAAAGCATATTTTATTTAGCGTTAATTAAACTTGCATTAAGAATATTGTACCGCATAACGTGTGATTAACGTAAACATCATGGAAATGCGGGCCATGCATATTCAGTAGTTGCGCTTTGACGTAGAACTCTATACATATCCTCGAAATTAGCAACATTAGCGGCATTCATCGTTTGTTTTGCGTACACTTGAAATCTAAACAGAGATAATTAAGCGTTCCAAATTCTTCCACGCATGCTTCAGCTTGTTTCCCTCGCGAGCTTCATCGCGCCGATGTTTGATCGTACGAGGATCAAAACGTCGGTCGATCATTAACTTCGCCGAGAATGCCGCCGAGACGCGATGGAGTCCGCCTGCTCAAGTAATCGCTGCGGGGTATTGATACCGAGCGGCATACTAATTTCGATATCGAATATACGAAGCGCGCTGCTTCTCAAGATGATTCTTGCAAATCGAAGAAAGATCACGATTTTTTTACAAAATAATATTTGTAAACTTGTACGTGTACGTGCGTTCTTAATGGCAATTTTCTTTTAACTTTAATTTTTATGACGTTCTAACATTTGGCACAAATTTACACACACACACACATATATATGTATAATAATTAAAATTAATATAGAAGTATACCATTCAACAAATATCTTTGAAAAAAAACATTTTAATTATTTTTTTTCACATAAAAGTATGTTTTTAAAAAAATAATTATCTTTTATTTACAGCTTTTATCGAAAATTAATTCACGAGATGACGAATTAAATTTCCTGACGTTGAGAGTAATTTAATATCTCCGAAATGAAATAATAATTCGTATGTGTATATTACATAATTTTTTTCTGTATATGAATTATCGGTCACAAAGATGGTTTTACATGCTGCATTTTGATGTTTCCGTTTAACAAACATTTGACAGCATGATATTCCCGTGTTCACATTCGTGTCGGGGCCGATTGGTGCAATTATCTCAATTATTCATTGTTTAATATTATCATGTCCGTTAAAAATCCAATTTGTCACGGACACGTTTCAAGTGGCAGATAATCTATTCCGGTAGAAGCATGTTATTTTTCTTCTCCGCCAATTTGATACTTTATCGTTTCCTACGAGCGCACTTGACATTTGTTTGAGGACCGTTTGTACTTAAGAATACTTCTTCGAGCGTCTAGCATATGAGAGCAAATATATAGTCGTCCCCACCCACTCTTTCGCTCGCTCCGTCGGGATCCACCTACGCGCGGTCACGATCGCTCTGATGGAAATCCGATGATTCCCATAAACAAGGGAGGGCGAGATGCACGGGAGGCGGCACTTGGTCTCTCATTATTCGGGGCCCGGCTCGACAACCGGCCGATCTCGTATCGGACGCATCTATCTGGAGCACCCAGATACATAGGCAGCCTCCTATACGCGCGACGAGCGCGTCAAAGCGTGAGATCCTTCGGCGGATACGGCGGCATCGCGATTTCGGCATTGAGAGACGGCGCGGCGGTAATATATTTGCGGAGCAATATGATTTATTCCTCCGCAGCCCGGTACAGAGAAAATATTGTTAATGTATGTATTCGTGATTTATCGACCCCCTCGCGCAGCTACGGCCGCGCAAATATCGGTTTTCGTAGCAAATAAAGCCTGCATAAATCATGATTATTAACTTGCACCGGAATTACATTGATTTCTCCATTTCTGATATTGAAGGAGGATAATACAACAGTTATGTAGGAATTAAGTTGACAATTATTAATGAGATATTAATGAAACGGCGAAAGAGATATTAACGAACCGAATGAAGCAATTTGCGCTCACATATTTTGAAGAACAATTTGACATCGTTATTTTTACTTAATATATTGACGCACTAAAGTGTAGAATATAGTAAGCTATAGTCAAATTTATTTATCGGTTTTATTTATTCCTTTACAATATTTGTACTGACGTAAGCTAAAATGTTGCAATTAGTATTATTGAATAAAATATCCAAGGATAAGTTTCAAGTACGCGAGAAATGCTCTCGTGGACGCAACGGCAACGTCATTCGATAAAGCTGGTATCTGCAGAATCCTTCCTCAGCGATTCGTGTTTGCAGCAAGAGATACCGAATGATATACTCACCAACGATATTCTAGAGGACTGCTGGCTTTAAAAAATTACTGTATTAATTGTGCAAATTTATCATAGCACATATTAAAATAGAAAGCTATAATAAAAAAATAATAATAGGCTCCACTGATTATGAAATCAAATTTGAAAACAAAAGAAACTTAAGAAGCCACGCTAGATTTCCGTGCGAACAACCTTGTATTGAATTTGAAACAAGTATAAAAAACAAATATAAGAACAGGAAGAATAAAAATTTTATTAAGTATTATCTAAGCAAATATTTTATTAAATATTTACTCAGATAAACAAATAAAAAGTTTAATGTGCGCAATTATTATTTGACAAATATTAATTATTTTGAACGCAGCTCTAATCTGGATTTACTTTTGTGTGTTACAGAGCAGCTTTGCAGAACAAAATGGCAACATTTGCTGCAGCTGCGCATCGCCCTGGTGAGTGAATCTAATTTTTTATTAAAATAATACATCTATAATATTTTAAATTATGCATACAATTATTTTAATTTCTAGAAGAACAAATTATTTATTATTTGGACAAATTTAAATTAAATTTGTTGTTATATATATTTATATTTGTTAATACATTCCGCGCCGCTCTAATTTTACATAACTTTTCATTTACGTCGTAAAATTTATTATAAGTATTATATTAAATTGTAATTATAAAAATTATTAAAATAAAAATGTGTTGTAAATCATAAGATTTCATCAACATAAGACATATTTGAAATATTTGATTTTAAATGGCTTGAATGACAAGTTTAAGCATAAATATGATACACAAAAATATCATAAGTAAAAACATAAAAAGTATATATAGATCTATTATTTTAAAATAAATGGGCTAAGATTTAGATTTGTTGGTGAATATTTAATTCTTGATTATTTTTTAAATATATTTTATGAATGACGGATTTATAGCTAGATATATTGAATTATTTGGAATTTTTAATGATCGAATTTGACTGACTTAGCTCAAGAAATCGATTTTTTGTAGCACAAAATATTACTATTGGAAAAGTTATCTGTTTAAGCGCAATGTAGAAGATTTTTACGTTGTCAGCTATGTTCGAAATAATAAGCTCCTATTTCCTGTAGAAACTCAGAAAGTATAAAATACCATAAAACTTCTGCTTCATGAAGTTACTATTTATTAGCACAGTTATTATTATTACATGTCATATTCATAAACTTATATCTCCAAGTAATAATGCGGATACATGTTACGGAAACGTAACGATACAAATACATATATTTATATCACAGTCGTAGATAATGAAATTAATATTAATTCGAAGTTACGTTATCTACTTAAACTTCTAGAACGGGCGCCCGGGCTTCTTTCTGAAAGTAAATCGCCACTCACGTGACTAAAGTATGTGCGTATAAATTCTGCGGAAAGCATTACGTCCGTTTCGGATAATACGATAAAAAATCCCTCCGGGCGAACTGTACCCTTAGACTTAACTTAACTGAGACGTTTAATTAATCTTAAACGCTAGAGATTTGATTCGCGATGGATATAAGCGAAATACGCGCGCGATTTCTCCATTCAGCGGAACGGAAGTTTCGAAGCGACACGAACGATGATGATGCTGAATGCATGTCGAGAGTCACGCAGATGATTCTAAGGATAACGTCAAATCGCTCTAATGATCGCTATTGCTACATAGGTACTTATTGTTAACAATGTTTATATACGTGGGATAATGAAACCAGTCTTCTTGCGAACATCGTAAAACGATACTCTCGCGCGCGACTCACTCAAGTGGCGAGTTTGCTTCGAGCAGAAGTATATTCGTCTTCAATTATTTGCCAAATGTGTGCAAGTGAAATAACATGTAAGATGAAAACTTTCAATATAAAATTTTTAAAAATATAATCGATGATAAATAAATAGGAAGAATTATTAGTACGCGTAGAATCGTAAAATAATATTTTTTCTACAACCTGCAACACTTTACTGTAATTTATGAAAGATGTCTATTTAGAAATTGTCTCTTTAATATTATTTCACTTGAACAGAATTTTTTCAAGATAATAGATCTCTACTTTTTAACATTTTATTGAACATGCGCGTTGTCGACAACAAGATCGAGAATTTCTACCGAAGTCTACGGACACGATTAACGACCCGAAAACGGTAGGAAGTTGAATTCGCTATATATGGACACGTCATGCACGTCAATTTCACTAATTCTACCTAATTAATAATATATTCACATCGCAGTGCATTACGCGAGCGTTTACAAGCGTACTGGAAATGCTGATGAATTTGCTGAAATAATCTTAATTACAACGTAGATTATACTTTCTAGAATAGTAGATTTACTCTATGTTAAAAGCAAATCATTTATCAATTTTTCTTAATCTCTAGATCATACATATATATGTCAAAATATTGAAATTCAATTATTCTTTAACGCAGTTGTAGGAATTATTTTGCAGTTAGTAAACACGTGCATACAGATAAATAATGTATGCGGTAAAATAATTACAATATAAATCTTTCTTTCATTATGAAACATACAACCGAGAAAAAGCAAATCGAGAGCGTGATGCCAAGAATATATTCTTATTTATGATCTAGAGCACGCGTTATTTAAAATTGATAGGCGATTACGCAAAACAAGGATAATCAGAACTCAACGCGACCAAGTATCTTATTTATCATTAACTCTTATCAGCTAGTTAGATGATTATATTGGAAGAGACACGGGAAGATAGAGATGAATTCGGGAATCGCGAGGGCTTTTCGAGAAAAGCATCCCCCCTTTCTTTTTCTCATCGTCCTTAAAGCTTCGTCGATATATCTCCTCCCTTTTGTCTTGAATCTAGCCTTTTGGTGATCGAAAACTTTTCGATAATCGTAATATCGTGATACAAAAATTTATCGTATTTGTAAATTACGCATATAATGTATAAATGCATAAGGAAAAAAATATGTAAATGTATTCGTAATGTACTCGTAAGTAAAAACGGAGTGAAACTTTTTTCGACACGCGTTCACAGCGGAAAATTATCCGATACAAAGGGCTGGATTGTTTACAAGAATTTCGGAGGAGGAGCGAGAAGATAAAATGTTTTCGATCGGAGTCGAGATCGATGAGGACGTTTGTGCAGGAGTCCTATAAATTTCGCCCTCTCGCGTCTGACGTCAACCGGATCCTTCTTCCTCGGAAGAGTTATTTCCGAGGAAGAAGGCGGGAGTCGGGCGTCGCGACACGTCGATTCTACGCGGGCTTGCCGGAAGCGTGGGGCTTGTCTCAGAAGTTCGCCTCCAGCGAGCTCTCGAGCTCGCTCAGCGCCGGCACCAGCGTCTGCAGCGAGAAATATCGCGAGCGATCGGCCGCGTCCACGCTGGTCACGTGTTGAAACTGACACGGCTGGCTGATGTTGCTCTTCGCCGGCAGCACCACCTTCTTCTGCACCGGCTTTTTCTTTTTCTTACCGGGCGCCGACAGGCTGATATTCTCCGGACACGACACGAGGCGCTCTATGTGCTGCCACAGATCGTTCGCCGCTTTTGAGTTGTCGAAGCTGAGCCCGGCCAGGCGAGTGTGATCCGATGAGAGACACATCGTGTGGAAAGCTGGTCCCGACACCTGCAAACATTTCAAGAGCTCTCTTACCTCGTTCTTGTCTCCGTAGAGCGCAGAAGATTCGGGAAAATATAGTGTTACACTTTTTACAACGAATAACTTTTTTTTTACGCCTCTTCGAGGGCGTTTAAAAATACACGCGCATTTATATTTTATTCGGTCTAACGTGCATGCGTCGGCAAGTAATTCGACACGGTGTTAAATGTCTAATTTTGAAATTCAAGCCGCTTTGTAATGAAGCACGTCGCAATCTATTCAACGAGGTAAACGAGACAAAAAGCTGGTAAATAAATTTCGCTTCTTAAATTTTACATCGCTCAGATTGATTATTCATTTTCTACCGGTGCCAAGCTATTGGGCGATATATTTCTACGCGATAATGCATCTGCGATAATCTGCATTCCGGAAGTCAATCGCGATAGCCGTGATGCCTTACCTTGTACGATGAGAGGTTATCGATAGTCTCGCGCCAGAGAGTGAAGCAAGTGCCGCGTTCTGCCAATAAAATTTGAATCCGTCTCTTGGATCGCGATCGTGTTTCCCCGAGATCGAGAACCACGACGGGTATCCCGGTGAAGCGGAGCTCCCACCTCTCCGTCTGAGACGCGCTGCCGAGATATAGATTCGCCAATGATTCGCAGACGAACACCTGCAAGTCGCGAGAGATTACATTGACATTCACATAAATCAAGTTCTATCTTTTGCACAAATCCGCTTTGTTTCATCATTTTCAATTGTATTCATCTCGCGCGCGTTTCGCGCGAAGCTGCTTACCTGCGATTTTAATCCGCGGAAGAAGGTCTCGAGCTGCTCCCGCTCCATCTGACTGACCGGCTCGAGACGGGATTCATCACTGTTCTCGGAGCTGTCGCTACCTTCGTAGCTCGATGTGGCGGAAGTGTCCGCCTCGCCCGTTGAGGATAGCCGTCTCCGCGCCGTGCCGCCGTATTCACTGTAATACGATGAGCTATGCAGCGATAGATTTGACTGCAATGCGGGGCAAGATGACGCATAGACTGGTCCGTTCATTGTTGCCTGAAAAGAAAAGAATGTCAGAAATGAGACTCTCAGTTTTGTGGAAGCGCATCATAGTTCATTGCTTTATCAGTTTCCGAAAATACACGTCCTTCGTGAAAGATAGCTTTGTACAATTTGGTGTTACGAAAAAAAAAACGGCAAAAAAAGATAGTAACTTTTCTGTTCAATTTTCAAAGACACAAAATTTATTACGTAACACAAAGTATTTTTATCCAAATATCAACGGGCGAGCGCGCGAGATCATTATTTTGCGGAGCGGGAGACAAATTTCCACCCCACCGCGAGCGCGCATGAGAGTTCATCGATTTCCAGTACACTCTGGATTGTGCGAGTACCATAGTGTCATTCTATAAATATCCGCGACCCCCTTTATTAAGCACAGCTCCGACTAGCCCAGAAATTTCGATTGTCATCGAAGAATGGACTCGTCCAATGAGGATGAAAGCTGCGAGCACAACGCAACTCGCAATCTACTTTTTCACTCTTAATCATCACTAAGCCCCGAGTTTGTGCAAAAGTGTAACTGACAATAAATCTGGCAGAAGTTCCTTGTTATTTTTTTTTTCCAAATTCTATAAAATATAAAAACAAAATATTTTAAGTATTTGTAAAATTTGCAACGCTATAACGCTTGGCAACAATATATAAATAAACCTCGCGCGGATCGTTTGTGTACAGAATTATAAAACAATATTTGCGAGATGGAGTAAAATTCGTCGGCCAGCAGCGAAATCCCACGCATGCGATGTAAAAAGCGAGCGGGATCGTTCCACGCTCGCAGGGGTGAAGAACCCCCGTGCGTTTCCCCGACGCCTGACCTCGGAGGTGAGAAAAACTGGGTCGTCGATACTACGATGACGCAAGGGCGGGAAAGAAACGTCGCACCGTGAGAGAACTAATCAGGCGCAGGCGACCCACTTAATGCGCGCGAGAAAAACCCGTCCTTAATTCGATCGGCGCGCTTACGTCGAATCGTCCGGATGACTAATAGGCATCTGCACGTTATCAGTCGCTCGGTCTAGTTCTAGGAAGAGGTCTCACCGCGACCTCGCGTCTCTTCCCGTTCATTGATAATAACGACGAGGTCGTCTGATGCGCGATGATCATGTCAATGATCCTCTGGCACTTGATGCGCGCATTCCTCCGTTACTCACGATGATGCTGACGCATCGCTCGGTCGCTCATCGAGCTTTATTAACCTTTAAACGAGTGAATGGGAAAATGAAAATTGATTTTCCGAGGAAACGCGTGAGCAACGCGTTCCATCCATGCGTCAGAGAGAATGGAAACTGCCTTTATTTATGTTTCACAATTCTTTTGAACGCGTGTCAATCACACGCCGCGCTCAAATTTAATCATTTTTATTTGGATTGATAGAGGGCGGATAAATTAAATATGTTACAACGTTGTCAGATCGTTATCAAAAAACAATACAATTTTTTTTTAACCGAAAAATAATCATGATACACAGAGACCGATTCAATTTTCACTACTTTCTTCTCGTAGATGTATTAAATTATGATTGACGTTTTCAAAGTTTACTTTCACAAAGGTCAGAAATAAAGGAGAATCTTCTTTAAGTTTAATTGATGCAACGTGACAGACCCGCATGTTTATCATTGTGACTGTATAATTAGGCGGAATAACGTTTTCATGACTACAAATTGGCAAGATAAAGCGGAAAGATTGCGTTTGACACAAATTTCGTCTGACAACGTTGAATTCTACACGTTATCGAGCTGGTTGATTAAATTAGTATAATACACTAAATTGATCGATTGAAACTGATTGTATTAATTTAGTAGCAATTTATGAATAATAATACTATTAATTTATGTAAATTGAATACACGTGTTTTTGTACGCGATAGGAGAATAAAAACTGGCATAATGGCGAACGCGACTCTCCCTTTCACAATCGACCCGCATCTATCGTACCGGGCTTCGATATCGTGCGTACGCTGCGAGATATCGCGGTGGCGTAGCGTAACGATACAAATTGAAACGCGAGCCGATTCGTGTCCCCGCGCGCACGAAACGCACACCGGAAGTGCATTGTCCACGTTGCGGTCGACGGGGGGGATGTGCCATTGTTCCGCTCGCGCGATAAGAGCCCGGCTTCGTTTCGTTCCTAGATAAACTGCAGATAATTACGATCGCACGCTGCCGCCTTGTATTCTCACGAAGCACACGCTCCGCTTGGGAGGCAGAGAATAATTATCAGGCGGATTAATTGGATCGCGGAGCGCCGTAGACGTGCTTGTGAGACTTCCTTTCTTCTTAAGTAAAAGTATCCGGACTTGAATGATTTTCCTTCTACTTTTAACGCACGCTCAACTCTTTACTTTAGATTCTCAAGTGGTGTCGGTGAAAAAATAACGAGCCTCGCATTTATATTAAAAAATGTCAATTAGTGAGACATCATTTCGCGATATAGTCGAATAATTTCGTTCTTATGCTGCGAAATACGTCATTGAAAAATTCGAAGGACTATTATTTTTTGTTTGAAAGGCTAATTAAAATCTAAAATGCCAGATTGCCGAAATGTCAGATCGGAGTGTGTGAAGATTAATTAGCGGTGTTGAATTTTATGCTCGATTTCACTCTTTTCGTATGTAAAGTTTCAGTTTCTTATTTAAAATCGCACACGTACCAAGCGACAGTAGTTCCTTTTGTTCGATCTTGTCGCCGCTCGTTGACGTCGAAAAATTTTCCTCGCCTCGAGTTTAGCAGACACGTCCGCGCTTTTTGTCTCAAATGGAAGATTGCGTAGGCGCGACGCGATTACGAAAAGATGCTAGAAAGTGGGACAGCGGTGGTATTTCTTATTGAATTAAGGAAAGATAAAGAGCGCGGAATGCAGTTAAGTAAAATTCGAGGACGTGTCACGACGGCGTCAGGTTAATTACGGGTCAAATTCACGCGGGATGCAATCGTCGTACAAGTCGGCGTAACGTCGCTGCAGTCGCGCAATCGTTAAAACTCGAGACGAATTCTCTCCTCTCGCGAGCGAGAACCTACTGTGGACTAATTGAATCTCAAAACCAAGCGCAGCCTTTAACGCGACACGGAAAGAAATTTTATCGCGTGATTTATATCAAATATTGTTCAACCCAAGCTGGTTGTTGAAGAAACACATAAAGCGATATCGCATAGAACGATATCGTATCGAAAAGCAGTTCCGAAAACAAACTCTGAGCAACCGTCTCGCCGGAAAACGATTCGCAATTGCGCCGGCAATCGTTTGGGTACGCTCGCTTCGACAGGTACGTCGCCCCGCCGGAGATGAAAGATTAATTACTGCCGGGCTAATTAGTTTCGTGGCTGTAACGGGGATAAACGCTCGTGCTGGGAATTTATAGCTCGCCCGGTACTTCGCCGAGCGTAAAACGTGCTTGCAATTAAAAGTAGGTAACCCGCAGGCCTTCGGCTCTATTGTCCGGAGCGGGTTAGAGCGCTGCTCTTCCGCGGGTCATCTATTTTGATTAGCCGTGCTGTTAACCGCCTTCTTTCACGAGCCGCGCGGAAATTCGGCGAGCCTTTGTTTCGCCGCTTCCATAAATACTAGTTAGCGCTGACCGTGATGCAACTGACTTTTTATCACTTTTCAACCACGTAACGCGAGAATGGCGTTATTGAAAATCTCAGTTAACTTTTTATTAAAACTTAATTGAATATAGCGCGTGTATAAATCACGGAGGCATCGCAGGCGGTTCTGAATTTTTCGTGAATTTCACTCGATCGCAGTTGTATAATTATTAGGATCGATCCTCCACAAACCGCTCTTTGTTCAAAGTTACTTCGACTCAAACATTTCCAGAATGCCGTTTTAGGTGCGGCGATGCATCTCGCGCAGCCATTCCGGCTAGATGTGCAAGCGCGTCTTTCTGCTCGTGACACTCTTCCCGGGTCATCTCTCTCGCGCAACAGGCGCGAGAGACTCCTCTCCGTTCTCGTCTCTCGTGACAGCAGCCTCTCTCCCGCGGAGCGGAGAGTCGTGACGGCACAATAAGCGCGAGTGCGAGCGACGACGCAATCTATCGACGCGACTTCAACAACCTCTCTTCGTCTATTTTAATGTCCCACCGCTCTCTCTCTCTCTCTCTCGCCGGCTTCGTCTATTTCGGTTACATCCCGCTTCGTGTCATTTTGCGATATCTGTCGCATTGTCTCCTTTCCACCTCGATGCTCCATTGCCTTCCCCGCATTATATCCCTCTCTTGTCGCGCACCCCTAGCAACCGGTGTGCATACGCACGTTGGATGCATTCGCGGAAATGCGGCTGGGCGGTGCAACGACCGGCGAGAATTCCGCGCGTGACGCACCGGGAAACTTCACGAGTTGCCAATGGTTGGTAACGGTGTCTATAGACTCGTGAAAGTGCCGCGTTACAGGGAAGCGTGTAACGGGGACAAAAGGGAGAGAAACAGACGATGAAGTTTGTTAACAGGGAAGGGCGGCGTTTGTGCATTTATCCGACGCGCAAAGTGCATCGTCGAGATAACGTCGCGTTATGATATCTGAGGCAAGTCTGTTCGAGTGATTAGATAACGCGGATTAAATGCACGGCTGTGCTGTAAAATATTTTTTTTTTTTTGCGCTACAATGAAGCCGAACGCCACTTTTGTACCGTTCGAGAAGTTATTATTAAATCAAGAATCGAGAAAAAATCCATTACAGTCAATTTTCCTCTGATTATCGTATTTGTGCCCAGTCAGCTGTGTCGGAAATTACTTTGCAGTCGCCGAGGTAATGATCTGACTTAAAAGTTTCACAGTTCTTGCGAAACGATCGCTTTTATCCGCATCCTTTGACGCCACACACTTGCGTTAATTCTCGTTTGCGTAAATAATCGCAATTTAAAGTTCGAGGGAAGTTTCGACTGTGTTCGAAGTCAAGAAACTTGCGTCATCTGTGAGATAAAATTTTGGTGCCGATGCGTTTTATGGGAAATTTATTATCGAGATTATTAAAATGTTTCAACTTGTTCGTATTTTA